AATTGAGCCACTAACACAGTCTGTGGAAAACACTGATGGAGGGCACAGAGGGATTTGCTTCACTGGGATCAGGGCCCCCAGCTTGAACCCAGGTCCCCTTCCCTTCCAGGCTACCTGCCTTATGGAGTCGCACACCCTCTGGCTTGCTCCCTTCATAGTTTCATAGTTTCATAGTTGGTAGGGTCAGAAGGGACCTGAACAGATCATAAAGTCTGACTCCCTGCCATGGGCAGGAAAGAGCACTGGGGTCAAATGACCCTGGCGAGGTGTTCATCCAGCCTCCTTTTAAAGACCCCCAGGGTAGAAGCCAGCACCACTTCTCTTGGAAGTTGGTTCTAGATCCTAGCCGCCCTGACAGTGAAGTAGCGCCTCTTGATGTCTAGCCTGAATCTACTCTCCGTCAGCTTATGGCCATTATTCCTTGTTACTTCCAGTAGTGCTCGGGGGAACAGGGACTCTCCCATTGCCTGCTGGTTTCTCTTGGCCAGTTTATAGATTGCCACCAGATCCCCTCTCAGCCTTCTCTTGTGGAAGCTGAACAGGTTCAGGTCCCTTAGCTTCTTCTTGTAGGACATGCCGTGCTGAACCCCTGATCATGCGGGTGGCCCTCCTCTGGACCCTCTCCATGTTGTCCACATCCCTCCTGAAGTGCAGTGCCCAGAACTGGATGCAGTACTCCAACTGCAGCCTGACCAATGTTATATAGAAAGGGAGGATCACCTCCTTGGACCTGCTTGTGATTCATCTGTGGATGCATGACAAGGTGCAGTTAGCCTTCCTGACTGTGTCCCCACATTGGCAGCCCATGTTCATCTTGGAGTCTATAGTGACTCCAAGATCCATTTCTGCCTCTGCACTGACGAGAAGGGAGTTTCCCAACCTGTAGGTATGGTGCTGGTTGTTCCTCCCCAGGTGCAGTACCCTGCACTTGTCAGTATTCCTCCTGGCCCCCTCCCTCTTGCAGCTGCCTAGAGGATCAGCTTCCAAATAAGCACCAGAGAAGGAATGGATAATAGTTGACCTGTGGTATTGTGATTAGCATGCTGTGCTGGGAAGTCGGAGAGACTCAAGTTCATACTTTCTTTGGATGAGGAGGTTGAAGAACTCAGGACCTCCAACTTCCCAGGGGAGTGCCTGCACTACTGCAGGGAAAAGATAGAAGTGCACTCTCTCTCTCTCTCTCTCATTTTGTTGTTAGTGCATGTGTCCACTGTGGGCATGTACATAGTTCTCCATGCATGCCGGGCTATATTCCCATGAACAAAATTCCAACCTGTTCAGAAGTAGCGTTTTTGGCACTTACATAACCATATAGGCATGCAAATCTGGACATTTAGGTGACTATGAAAGCGTAAAGAATGTGACCCAAGCATCTAGCTTACTCTAAACAGGTAGGTTCCTGAAACTGCCTCCTCCTATGTGGTGTTCTTTTTAAAAATCAAAAAGTCCCTTAATGCCTGCATTCCTGAATGCAGTGATTTCATATCAGAAGGAAAAACGTCTCAGCCCCTGTATGGTGGACTATCACAAATGCATTTAAGGTCCACTCTGTACACTTAGTATATAGCCTTATTGTCTAGGCCAGGGGCGGGCAATTATTTGGGGCAGAGGGCCACTTACTGAGTTTTGGCAAGCCATCGAGGGCCGCATCACAGGCAGCCCAGGGCAGATTAATATTTATTTTCTAAAATTTTTAGGGGCCTCACGGCCCAGATAGAATGGCCTGGCAGGCCGCTTCTGGCCCCTGGGCCGCATTTTGCCCACCCCCGGTCTAGGCAGTAAAAGTGAGCTTGTTAATTGATCTGAAATATACTCCACTGACTCTCTGTTCAGTTTGAACAAGGCTAGCAAATATAATGCTTTATTGTCACCAGTGGTGTTCATATGTACAGTAATATATATATTTAATATATATACTGAATAGGGAGAGATATGGTGAAATCCAAAAGGGAATGGTTCGGGGGAAAAAGTTGGCACTGCATGAAAAGTATGAGGCTGACTGTGAGAGCACAAGGTGTCACAACAGAGAAATTAGAAGCCCATTGGAAATATTTCATTTCAGAGCCACTGCTGCCTTGTGACAGGCACTGCACTGAACTGAAGGTGACAGCAATAAACTGAATCAATCAGGAACTGGGAACTGCAGTGCGAGGAGGGAAGGCCAATAAAACTCTGCTGGTTTATTTATTTCTAAGCACTGCAGAGAGCAATGAGGGGAGCTGATGTAGGAGGTCATGACAGAGAGCAGAGGAGTGTTAATGACTGGGGGGAAGTGTGATCCCAGACTGAAAGGTTAGTGGCTGCGGTGGTGATGACAGCAGAGAGAAAAGTTGGTATGAAATAGCTTTGTCAGTCTCAGATGTTAATCCTAGATAAAAATGGGAGTGGACAGAGGATACAGTTAAATTATTGTATATAGACAGTAATATAGAAAATAATTAGGGACCATTGCTAACAATACCAATGGTCCTAACGGTTATACAGGCCAAATGTGGGGAGAGGACGGGAGTTCTACATTTTATTTAAGACATTTCCACTGCTTTAGGAATCAAATGTGCATGATGCTTCAGGTTTCATTAATATATCAACTTACATGAATGCTTGCATCGTCATAATTAGGAGCAGTATTTCAGTGAGTCGATTAGTACGTGCAGTGCTTTACACACACAGAAGAAAAGGGGATCTGAGGCTCTGAAAAACATTGCTGTGGAGCTTGCAATGCTTAGCGTTCATCCTAGCCCTGATCTAGATGAAGTCATATACTTGTCTAATTATTAGTTATGATCCAACCAGATCAGATAGCACCAGATGTGAAATCTGACTTCTGCCTAATCCTTGAAAACCCAGTTCATCAGGTTGAAAAATGTTGTTCACTTTATTAATAACAATTCCTTTGCTTCTGCTTATTCAGTGCTTACTGGTTCCAACTAGGACTGAAAATGCTGAAACAGGAGTGCTATCATTAAGGAATTATCTTTTACTGATGGTTACAACATTATCTGGTATTTGAGATACACAGGGCACAACAGGTGTCATAACTGTTAACAGATGTTGGCTTTATAAGAGACACCTTACTATCAGTCAGGTGCAATTTAATATTTAAAAACTGACTTATGAAATGCGAGGGAGCAGGGTTTTCTCCCCTTGCTTGAACTGCATTTAAATTAGATCCCAAATGGTCCATCTATGCTTTGCCTGAGAACAGTCAGAACTGGAAGACATGTTTTTGACTATAAAACAGGCTAATTCTGGAAAACCCTCATTTAATTTAGGCCTCTTTCATGTTAGGATGTAAAGGAGGCCTGGAGCCAACAGCTCCATGGTTTTAATACTCGTATAGGATGTGGTCAACCTTGCTATCTCTTTTTCAGCCCATATTTACTTTTCAGGAGAGTGCCCCTCACCATTAGGCTATTCTGGTTGGGGACCTTTCCACCTTTCCCACTGAAGTTGCACCACTGTGCATAAAAGAATCGGAGATTTAATGGGCAGTGCAAGCACAACTCTGTGGCCTCATGGTTAGGATGCTCACCAGGAAAGGGCGGGGAGCAAAATGTGTTTCAAGGCTTATTTCCAGATTTTTATATAATGAATTTGATAAAATGCCTTAACAGTCAATAAAGAATGGACCACACTTTCTGACCCTTTGTCCTCAAGTGAATGTCTTAACTGCGAAGTCGCTGTCTCACGGTGATTGTTCCTCTCTCTTTCTGAGCCAGTGAATCTTGAATTTTGTGCCTCAGAAAGGAACCGCTTCTAATGGTTGGGTGGTTGGTGTTCCCACCCTTTAATGGGGGCCTTACCAATAAGGTGATTACTAGGAAGTAGCTATATTTTGGATTCATCCCCCCCCTTAGCATTTGGCATGGGTAAGCTTTGAGGAGCATTCCTTTCTATGTGGCAGCCTATCTGGGTCCCATTTAGAAGGCAAACTTAGGAAGGCAAATAGCTAGAGGTTAGGTGTTGCAATGCTCAGTGCTGGGCTTATCTGTATTGAGCCCCTTGTTGTTTAATAATCCAGTTGTCTTAAACAGGACCTCTTAAAAAGCAAGAGGTCAGATGCCCATCTTGTGTTAACTGTTTCACAGACATTTATGGGACTATGATAATATACACTGTCTGCCCCCATGAGCTCAGCAAGGTACACAGAGCTGTTGTTCAATTCAGTTTATACTGATGATAGACAGCAAGGCTCTCCAAGTTTGCATTTCCCCTGCTGTTTGTCTCCCTCCCCCTTCTCTAATTAGGCATAAACCCAGCCATGAAACGGTCGCCCCTGTCACTAAGCACTTCATCATTGTCCGAGGAGATGAAGTCAGCTGAAAGCAGTGTAAAGAACCAGCACAGTCAGCCTGCAACACACGGGAAGAGACTGCCTTTCTGTTTTTCCCTTTTCAAACTAAAACATATAGCCACTTTTGAATGTGGTCTGAAACAGAGTTAGGTGGGATCATAATGCTGTGGAGAAGCAACAGGGACATGGGAAAACTGTATTTTTGTTTTAGAAGCAGAAACACTCTTTGATTTGAGGCCTAAAACAAAGGGTTGGCACATTCATTTTGACTCAGAATAAAAATAGCAGTTGACCAGGTATAAGTGCATCAGAATGAGGGCAATATAGCGATATATGCATGTATCCATTTTTAAAAATAGAAGCATCATTTTATTAGTGTTCCTACTCCTAATTTCTGTCAAAGCAGCCTCATTTTGGAAGATAAGCCCTGCTTAGAGTCATCCTTAAGTTACATTTGGCAAGAACCTTTCCTTCTCTTTTCTTGCTTACTAATAGGGATTTTCTTACTTTGGAACTGCATTAGCAAGTGCTGTAACAGCCACTGGGTCTATTCATGGTCTTTAGCTCAATCACGACTTCTAAAACCAAATCAAAATAAAGCAAAAACATCAAAAGCAAAGCTAAAACCTAGATCTGTCCTCTCTAATTCAGTGGACATTTAAGACAATTTGAGTTGGAAAAAAAGCAGCTCTCAAGACCCAGCTACCTTATGCTCCAGGCTGGAGTCTTTAAACATCAGTGAGAAAGGCTTGATATGCTCTCTTCTCAATTTATCGCCACTCCGTAAGTCGATGGTGTGCTCTATTCGCTTGTTAATTTCCTCAGGCCCAGACTGGACATGCAAAGCTTGTGCAAGATGGTTTGGAAGCAGATTTATTGAATTTCTTGTTAGGGCAGCCAGAGTCTAGGGGAAAGCACATGCAAACAGAATAAACCTGCTGGTCCCCTTGGGTTAAAAATGCAATGTTTTAGATCATGTTGCATTGCAAACCATTTACAGCATCCCATGCAATTCATTCAATGAAACCTACAGAAGTTTATAATACGTCTGTTCCACTAAACACATACAGTACAAAAAGTGGCCACTTCAGTGTCATGTTTTGAATAGGCTTTTGTGCTTGTGATTTCACTGAAGGATGTAATCGTAACAGTGTTGTCGGAATCTGCTGCTGAATGACCTGTGGAGTTCCCAGAGGGTGGGGAAGGAGCCCCACACCAAGCAACCAAATCAAATGACCAAAGTAAGCAAATAGTCTGTCTTAGCAAATTAGAATGGCATCCACAAAATGAAGAAACGAAACGAAACCAAAAAAATACCTGGAGAGAACAAAAAGCATTATTCCATGCACTGAAGTTACTGGATGTGTGTAGTTAGGGAACAGATAATTTGGAGGGAAGGCTGAAGAAGCGGAAATTTCTGACTGCCTCACCATTTGTTTCCAAACAAACAGTGAGCTTTTCTCTACGTCGTTGCATTCGAGAAGCTGGAATGCACCAGTTATCGCAGTTCTGTGATACCACTGAACCGAACTGTGGTTTAAGATCCTTAGAGCAGTTTGATTGCATAGTTCCTTCACTGACCAGCACGAGTGTTTTCAGTGAAGTTTTGAAAAGGACGGACGATGAAGAAAGTAAAAATGGTGTTTAACCTTCAGCGCAGATGTAGAATTTGCTTTCATGAAGTGAGTAACTCAACTCGGTGTAACATTTCACAACATGAACCACAACAAGACAGCATCCTGAATGGAAAAAATGAAGCATTATTGTCTGGAATCCTCCTAGGCTTTAAATGAATAGAAGGCTTATAAACCCTCAGGGCATAAAACAACCTCTACTTATTAAGGGTTAGAAAAAAGCTTTCCCTGTGGGCAAGTCGTTCCATAGCCACTTTCTTTAGGGTTCCTCTGGTTTATTTAGTATTAATTACTGTTGAGCATAAGAGACTGTCCCCACTGGAAACCTCAGCTGGGTGCAGTTCAGAGCATAGTCACCTACAACTGGATGGTGTTATCGCCTGATGAATGCTGGGTGAACATGAGAGTGGTCTTTCAAAAATTAGGTGTTTACATCATACAAGCTACACAGTTTTCTAGCAAGTTGGTTAGCAGACAGAGAAGCCAAAGATGAATGGATACTAAGGTTACTAATGTCATGAATACTAAATTGCTCTCTTACAGCCCATAATTCAAAGAGTTGCTTTAGAATGCAATATGGCAATAGAACCTAGTAACCCATGGCTGAAATATCCCCTGTATTGAATTCAGTTAAAATATTGCCATTTGCTTCAGTAAGACCAGGATTTCATCCTGTCTGTGCTCTAATGCAGTCGTTAACTTAACTTCTCAAATTTCTGTACCACCAGATTTGGGGGAGGGAAATCCAATCAACCTTCCCATAACATAGCTTCACGCATGGCTAGATCTGGGTCTGGCCCTCAGACCACAGGAGTGAAGACGTAGGCTAGGCTGGATCCAAAGTGACGTCATTAGCAATCTTTCCACTGATTCCAATAGGTTGGGTGTCACATCCCTGGTGCTACAGCAATGCACATTCCTTAGAAAGATGTTAGACATTTTCAGGCTTTGAAGTACTTAATTTGCACTGGGATTCAAGGCCTAAGCTGTTATGCATATACTGCTCCAGTGGGGTGGTGGCAGCAGTGCTTGAATTTATATATAAGAACAGAATCACTTCAGAGTCTGAAATGTTTTGGTCCCTTCAGAATTAAGTCAAGTCATTATAGCACTGCTGGAAGTGGAGGCAGACAAGCTCCTGATGTTTAGCTGGGTAACACTTGATTACTTGAGAGATGTGATCTCAATTTCCCCCAGCAGGTGACTAAAGTAATTTTGCTCAATTTGTAGAAAATATAGTTAAAATCATGCTGCCTTGTTGCTGTATAAATTAGCTAATTGGGTTAGAATCACAGACACATAGACCTCCAAATCACCACTGGGGCAATGGTGGTGGTGCAGAGATGGGGCCTGATTGAAATAATCATTATTTTACCAGGAAAAAGAAGGGAAAGCCAGAAATGATTGATAGAATTTGTCCATCTCTCTCTCTCTTTCTGGCACAAACACATACATGCACTCTTAAGACATCTCTCTCTCTCTAATGGACACTAGAATCAAATAAAAAGGTCACACTGGCCAAGGGATGAGTGCTAATCAGATTTGCCCTGTATATCTCATCTTTGTTCTGCATCTCCTGTAAAAGCAAATTTGAAATAGTCACTTCAACATTTGCCAAGAGATGCCCGAGGGCATGTCGACAGTGAGGCGTCCAACATTGCTGGCCATTAGCCATTTACTTCCTTTCATGCCCCCCTCCTCCCCAGGAAATACAGCAGTAAGGTATCACTGCAAATATATATGCGTTATCTTATTGAAATAGGCTTATACACACAGATTTTGTATAATAGTAACAGGGCTGTCTTGAAGCTCAATCTCCCACTGATATCAATGGCTGTTCTGCATACGCAGGAAATTCTGGTGTAAACCCCAAGAATGTTGGAAGAAGCAGGAGCATACTTCACTTGCACCAACGCAATAACAACTCCTTTCACACTACTATCTGCATACAATTAATTATGAAATTGGGTTTCTTGTTGACTAGAAAAAAAAAAAATTGGAATTTAGGCTAAGTGGCGCTTGCATCGTATATGGTACTAACAGGTGGCTTCGATTGTAATAGACATAAGAAGTGACACACTAGAAGACTTCAAGGGCTATGTTTTCAGAGTGATTCAGACTGAATGTAGGCACCCAACCTACATTAATGTTAGATAAAATAATGATGCAAGCAAAGTCTTATTCATTTGACCTTCAATGCAAGTTAGTTGTCTAACTTGGGCACTCTTTTGGAAATCCTGTTCATACCTTTATACACCTACATGACTATGAAATGTGGCTCCAACTGGTAATACATCTGCTCAGTGACCAACTAGAATAATACACTAGTTAACAGAATAATACACAGAATAATGTTAAATAGAATAATATACTAGTTAACATTTCCTGCTGTTCTCGTTAAGGTGGAAGATATTCCCAGGCCCTCTTCTATGGAAGAGCAGTAGATAATTTCCATATTTTCAAAAGAATTTTCCATAACTCTTCTGTTTCCAAAAATCACAGATATATTCCAATTTTCAGTTTAGCTTTGACTCTCTAAAAAGTGAAAATTTTCCACGAAGGGGTTATTCTGATTGAAAATCCAAATGTTTCTATGACATGAATTCTGTTATTTTTATAGCAGTCTATTTAAGTGCACGAGCACGAAACAAATATAGTTCTATTGAATTTTGTCTAAAAATGACTGCAAGATTTTTTTTAATGACGGACCTCTCTATCAGAGACATAATTTTCAGGTATACTGTCAGCTATACTGACGCTGTAAAATGACAAGATAACAGTTTCAAAATTATATTTATGCCTGTAAGATCAGTGCCTAGCTCTGGCCTAAGCCTGACTGGGCTCTGGAGTCTAAGTAGAAGACTGCATCTAGCCCCTCAGGGGTGCATCTGCTGGGCATTCTCCGACCATACCTAAAGCACACTGACAAGATATCAACAAAATGCTATGGGGGTCACCACTTTGTTTTAAAGAATTAGCGGTGGTGCCTCCTTTTCATGTAATGGCCTCACAGGAAGAGGAAATCTGGATTCAATTCCATCTTCTGCCTTAGGGGACTGATTGCCACATCTCCCAATGCCCAGAAGAGTGCTATAAGCGCCAGGCTATAGAGCGGGCCAGTTGGAACAAGGGTACTTTCCACTAGCTCCTCTTCCGCTTTCTATAAAATAATCAAGATTGATTGGGTCAGAAGGCAAGAAGCATGACTGCATGGCATTGCAGTCTAGTTACAAATCTGACGGTTGCCCTGGTTTCAGTTAGATGCTTAATTCTTTTTTCAGGGGAAGAATTTGCTTATCTTGTTTCTGAACCGCAGAGGGAGTAACAGCACGAGTGGGTTCGGACGTTGTTAAGATTGTTTTACACAACTGTGTGTGACCAGGTACTGTGATAGTACTGTAAGCAATTGCCACATACTTTTTGGATTATGCATATTTGATAAGTTGTTAAATTTCAATTGCAAAGTTCAGAGGAAAACACTGAACTACAACCTCTGTCTGACTGGACTGCATCTCTCACCAGACCACGTTTCTGGCTGTTTGATGGAGTGTTGTTCCATGGAGTTTTGGATGCCTGATCACCACCTTGAGGGACCTGAACTCCGTTAGCAAGATAATGAACCCATTATTTGGAAATATTGTGTTAGCTGTCAATACAGTGTGCTTTGATAGAGCACAGCTTTTGTCTCTCATCTCTCCCCTTACCTGCTGCCTGACTCAAGCCAAAGTTTGGTTAACAGGTTGCTTAATGGTTATAGCAGTTGCCTGGGCTAGGGGAAGTCCTGGGTTCTAGTCCCTGTTTCAAGGACCATTTCTGTATTTCACATTTAATGATCATTGAATAAAATGCAGAAACAGAGTTGGGATTGCATACCCAGCCTTGTGCTCAGGGTTTCTTCTGGGTCATCTTAAGCAGTTCCTCATTCAGAGAGCTGTCTCTTCTGGATCTCACTCTGAGGCCACCCCAACCCTTCTGCATTGAATAGGAAGTTGTAAGCATTGCTGGCAGAGTTTTTCATTCCCCTCTAGTAGCCTGTTGTCCAGACATCTAAGTCTTTCACTGTCTGAAGCCCTGAGGTATCAGACTATCATTCCCTGGTATCTTATAGGTAAAGACATTCTCAAGCATCAGTGTTATTGACTGACTTGTAATTTCATTGAGAACCAAGAGTGCTTCAAGTGCATTTAAGTTTTGGGTTTTTTTTAAATAGCATCTTACTAAAAAAAAAAATGTTGGGAAGATGAGCCACAATGGACTATAGTCCATACTGCAGAAAGGGGCCTAGTTCAGTTGTATTACATATATGGCTTTATCATCTCCACTTGGAAGCAAAGATTGAAAGCTTACATTTTGTTGCTTTAAAAACTCTTGCTATAAGCATTTTCCTCTCAGCCCTTATCTCAAGTATAATGGTATATATTGTGTTTGGTATGAATAGATAGGTAGATGTGTGTGTCTCTGCATATGTGTGTGTGTGTGTGCACGTTTGTACATCTATATCTATATTCTTATTTCAGGGGAAGAATTTGCTTATATAGACATTTATATATAGATATATATATTCATACCAAAACGCAATATATACCGTAATACTTGATGTAAGGTCTGAGAGGAGAATGCTTATAGGAAGGGTTTTTAAAGCAACAAAATGAAAGCTTTCAGTCTTTGCTTCCAAGTGGAGATGCTAAAGTCATGAAAGCATAGGCAGGCTCAGGACTCTACCTCCCAGAAGCAATTGCTTTTATAAGGATGCTGGAAATGAACAGGGCTTTCAGTGGGAGACAAGGGAGTTCCCAGTTTCAACTTTCAGCCTGTTGGGTGGAGAAGCCTTATGTTAATCAACTCACCAGGAACATTGTGGGCAGCATGAATTAAGAACATGCCCACCTCATGTTCTCATCTGCTCTTATGCTGTGGAATTTTAGTATAATGGGAGGAAAAAGTGCAGAGACATATGCTCCTCTTCATCCAACTTGTGTTAGTGAGCAGATTAAAAGCATTACCTGATCCTTAGCTTGTATTCCTTCACTATCGCTCTTTTACTGCTTGTTCATACTTCTCAAGTATTAATGGCATTCTTTAAACATACTTCTCAAATATTAATGGCATTCTATAAAACACCTGAATTAGTAACAGTTTGCCACATCTATCATTGGAATATGTGCACACAACACCCAGTAGTGTTGGATCCACTTTTTTTTGTAATCTGCATCATAATGCTGCTGTCAAATGTCTTCAGAGTAACATCAAGAGGCATATTCTGTCCTTAGATAAAACATCTGCAAAAGACAGACAGGATCTAGCTCCCTCGACCATGCACATACTGTAGGTGATAGAACCTCTCTCTGCTTTATAAAATAGCCTGTCTTTCTCAACAGCTCACTTCCAGAGACGCTACACTGCAAGTGCATAGGACAGCATCCATACATAACCTCAACAGACTTCACAACCAAACCTGACTCACCAGCTTGATCACCCATAGTTTTCTCATTTGTTCTTGTACACAGGGCTTCTTATTTTATTTCTACATCCAATCTCACACATCCCATTCACTGTCACAGGCCACCAGTTCAAATAAACGTAGGGTAGATCACATGAAATGTCATGAATTCAAGTTTGGGGGAGAGAAATTGCAAGAAACTCTCACATGCCACATCCTCAAAAACTCAGGAACACCTAGAAGTAAGCCCCGGGTGCCAAATAAGTTGAGTTACCCAAATCTTATAATTAACAAATCGCAATGAAATCGTTTGATGATACTGGTAATTACTAAAAGAGATAGAATGATTCAATGTGGAGCTGGAGCCACTTGACTCTCCACCATCTTTTGCTACAAATGACCCTTCTGTTGCATAATTAACACTATTCATTTTTTATTTGGTCCAAGGCTGACCAGTCCGTCAAGGAAGATATAACACACTTGCAGAATTTAAAATTGCCATCACATTGCTACGTTAGTTCTTGCCCATCATTAATGAACATTAATGGCTGCTATCTTGATTTTAAAATTGAAAATTACATAATTATTGAGTCCGTCATGTAATAACTGGGCATTTAAAACTTTTATCCAACCAATGGATTATTATGGAGCAGACATGAGTTATGATTTTAATATTGGAGAAAAATTATTTTCAATCAAAGTAGGGAGAAGCCATCTTCTTTTGATTAAAATTCATGGGGATGCCATAAGAAGCAAATCTCTTTCAAGAGAAGTGCATTATTCATACATTTCAGTAATTTTCATAGACTTTTAACTTGCTTATTAGGTCAAAGAAGGTCAACAATATAAAAACATGGTTCCCATATCTCTTCACTGTTAGTATCAAGGTCAGATATTGTGGAGAATATGGAAAATGGGATAACAGCATAATCCAAATTTTTGGCCCTATTAAAACCTAGAAGGTGTTAATGAGAAAGAACCAGGAAAGGAGAGCGTTGTGAAAAGCTATTCATTGCAATATGCACGCCCTCTTCTATTCCCAATGGAATGAGAATAGAGATACAAGCAGAGAAAAGGCAGTGAGAGCTGAAAGGAATTGTCCATGCAGGTATGCAAACACAGGGATACATATATAAAACAGATGTTTTATATAATGGCGAACTGGGCCATGCGCCATTTCAGCTTGAGAAAGGACAAGGACGCCACAAAGGACTGATCACTTGTGAGGGTCTGTCACTTTAGAGCAGATTTGAAATAGGCAAGAGACAGTTGAGAAAGCAAGATCTCCACACAACAAAGCTTTAAGGTCTGCAGACACTTCAGACAATTAGGACTAAGTCCATGCAGCAAAAGAAGGAATATATCATGTCATGACAGATCGCTCACAAAAAAAATGGACGGCAATTCAAGCTGACCTTGTTTCACAATGACTCATCAATCTTTCAAATACAGTGGAAAGAGTGGTGTCTTAGGGCACTTTAACCTTTTCATCTTTAATTCCTTTAAGCAGACAGGCTTCACAACTGTTTTATGACTGTAAAGAACTGCTGGATCTCAGAATGCTTGTATTTAGCACAAAATACTTTTGCGAAGGGTCTGATTGAGAGCAATCTAGAGAGAGACATTTCTTTCAAGTTCTTGCTCCCTACTTCTTCTGAGCTAGTCATGACACCATGAAACACCTATTAAGGAACTGTAACTGTATCATGGACATTCCCTTTTAAAAAGCTAATGAAGAATGAATGAGAAGAGTAGCAATATTGCTATTGCAAGGTGCAGGTTAAGCTAGATCTCTTTGCTTTGACACATGCATCACCCTGTTACATTTGAATAAGTGATACAACGTACACCCACTTGCCTCTTAACTTTGACAATGGACACAGCAGTGCACTGAAAATATATAACACAAGTTACACATGGTGATGTGGACACTTTGTGTGGCTTAATGACATTAACTTAACATTCAATTAGCATCTTTGAGGGCTGCTCAATTAAAACTCAGTTGAATCGTATTGCATTTTAGTTGGACCAAAAAAAAAAAAAAAATCTAAATCCTAGCATTTCCCCGATTCTGATACATAGGTTAACTCTGTCCTGAAGCAATTTGTTTAATCATTTGTACTTACAGTACACGTTACAGAAAAGGTTAAAGATGAATTTGTTTTTTTCTCTGAGGCTTTCATTATTGAGATGCACTCAAGCATGCTTTCGGAGCTGATGACATTCAAGAAAGTTTGACTTACATTCTGCTTTCCCACTATGTTATCGAATGGAAGTTCAGGACTCCAAGATCCTTCTGTAAATGTTGCCCCACTGTTTCTCCTGTCTGCGGAGCTGACAGACTCTTTCACAATGTCTTCAGGCAAAGTCAACAGACTCTCTTCAGGCTGCTTTATTAAATAGGTCTCAATGTTATGTTTCTTCAGGAATTCATTTCGCTCTTTGCCATGCCCTTCTTCAACTTTATAGTCCCCATTCAGGCAGTCCAGAGTGGCTTTGGATATATGGATCCTCCTGCACATTAGAAATGAGCAGTAATTAATACAGACAGTGCTCTAGAGATGGATTTTGACAGGGTGGCATATCAAAAGCTTTACAGACTTATTTAATGTTATATGTGAACATACTTGTTGATGCTACATATGATTATATTTACAATAGTAAAAAAGAATAAAATATTATTCAGATATGGGGCACTTGAACCAAAACCCAGCTTTACTTCAAGCGCCCCTGCCACCACTTTAAAATGTGGGGACGCTGATATACAAGAAACAGAGACTGGCTGGAGCATGCTAATTATAATGTTCCAGCAGACTTGATTAACTGGAAGTCAACAGACTCTGGTGTTTACACATGGAGTTATGTAGCCACAATTGGGTAACAGTGAGGAGTTTCTTTCATTTCACCCAGATTCTATGTGTGTTCCAAGAAACATTGGAACAGATTGCAGGAAAAGTGTTTTAATATTTCTCCATGAGATGACTCCAGTGAGACTAATCCTGGAATATAATATTACTCAGTGGGCATGTCTACACATGCACTTCAATACGCATTAGGCTATTTAATACTCTGTAACTACAGCATGTCGGAGCAGCCTCCTGGCATGCTTACAGGCACCTGGAGGTACTAGATTTAATGTGCATTAACTAAAGTTTGTTCATGTAGACTTGCCTGTGAGCTAGGATATCCACATCTGAACCTTAAGATGGTGAAGGAAGCTGAAGCTGGGTATTAGTTTTGTGGATGCATGATTGAGATTTGATTTTTTACAACCATCATCCCATGTACTTTGGATTTGGGTTCTATTAACTAATATCATGGAAACTGAGGGAGAGGGAAGGAAGGTTAGGTAAAAAATTTCAGGAGTGACTTATTGCTGACTTCAGTAAATACACTCCCTACTATAGACAGGAATGATTTTAGACACAAGTGAAACACGAACTCTGTCTAGCAGCACAAAACAGCAATAGTCAGTATTATATGTTTTGACCGAACAGCATTACAAAAGGATTATAAGGTAATGTAGACAATGGTCTTTGGACAGATTCTTATCAAGCCAAAATTTTCAACAGTGACTAGTGACTGTGGCTGCCTAATTCTGAAAATCATGGTTCATGCTGGACATCTAGAAATGGGCACTCAAAATCATTAGTAACTTTTGAAAGATTTCAGTGTATGTATACAGATGATGTATAACACACACAGCAGCAGATCCAAGCCTACCTAGTATGTGCCTAAGTGCCATCAAGTTTCATCCTGTATAAGCCCTGAAAAACTGTTATTATAAAAGACAGAGGGTCCATCTCCTCTTTTCTTCTTCTCTGTGGCCTAGTCTTATGACTAAGATGACAGTGGGTGCATGGAATAGGACTGTGCTTAGGTACCTAACAGGGGGAATCAGATGTGGACCAGACCCTCGTGTGCTGTAAATACGCTTAGCTCCTCTGAAGTCTGAAGAAGTGGTCCATACTGTCCACCAACTCTTTGCAACTCTTGCTAGAGATCTTATTGGATGCCATGCAGATTTATGCTAATTTACACTTTGCAAAACCCTTGTTATAATCACAGAAAGCTTATGTGCTCATCCCTTTGTGTTGAGTGCCTCCTATGTGCTTGACTGTTTTTTCACTTCTGTGCGTAGGAGTGAAGGGAACTTGGCATGAAACTGGATCAAGAGCTATATGGATGATGAATTATTAGTACATAATACAAAAAGAATTGAAAAATCTGAATTTCAGCCATTTTAAAACCTTGGATTAGGTCTTCAGCTGGTGTAAATCATTATAGTGCCACCAAAGTCTGTTAATTATTCCAATTCTCATCATATAAAGACCTGACCCCTTTCCAAAAAAATCCATACAGATTAGTGATCTTTCACAGCTAAATGATAATAAAAATGTGTCTCAACTTTAAGGGGCAAGGTTCTTCTGTGATATCTTTTACTAAACGAGCTATACAATTGGTACAATCAAAGATACCACCAAAAATGCTTGCTTCTTGGACATTTCCTGGACCATCACAGCTCTCAAAACACTCCAGCTCTACTCTCATATTTAAGCATTTTTTACCAGCACATTTAAAACAATCCTATGATCCCTCAGAAAGAGATTTTGTTTCCTAGAAAAAGGCTAAATTGACTTGGTACAGTATTAAATGCAAAATAAATAAAAAAAAATGCAGTAGTTGCTAAGGTGACTATCTTTGTGCTGAGTTTTGGCTTAATATAATTAGGCTGAATTTTGGCCTAATATAATTTCAGCTGAATTATAAACTTCTGATATATGGGGTTTATAATGTAGATAGCATCTCAAAGTAAAATGTGGTACTGGCTTTGATATGATACATATAAATGGAAAAATTTTAATAAAACAGCTTGTAGGTTAAAAATGATTTCTGTTTCTACATTACACCTATTTTACATTTTCTTGCACAAGATAGACCTTGGTGTAAATTGCAGCAATTGGTGTAAATCAGGGGGACTTTAAATGCATTAAAGTCAGTGGCTTTAGCCCAGTGTAGAAAAGGCATGAGACTGGAATCAGGCCCAAAGCCTGCTTTTGAACCTGCTCATCAATAATGTATTCTGAAAAATCGATTATTATCTGTGCTCTCTGACAGCCCAACAGATGACTGCCGAGGTGCAAAATCACACGTATTAGAAGTTAGGTCCCTGGCTCATACAGAAAAAGTGACTTTAAGTTAAAATTGTAAGAGTCCCAATTTTGTTCTGCCAATGGCCTCTGGATAAATTTACTTAGCTTAGAAACCTGGGAATGATTTCGGCCTCAGTGCTGCAAACTTCAAGTCAAGAATTGTTCCTTGTACTCTTATTCACTAGGGTGTTCTGCTTACTGCTATTCTCAAGCTGGCTTTGGATTTAGGCCCTGGTGACATCACTGGTTTGGGAGCCTTAGTGCAATCTATGGGTATGAGTATGTCTGCACTCTGTCCCAAGTGGTTTGGGGGCGCCCTGCTCTCAAGCATGCCCTCCCACCTGCTCCTGCTTGCACATGCTGAATTCAGAGATAAGGCAGTGAAGCCATTTTGGAGGCTGTACTTACCGCTACATGTGGAAAGCAGAGATCTGGACAGTGGGGGTAGAGGGCAGCCTCCCAGTGTCATCACTGCCTCATTTCTGAGTTTGGTGTATGGGACATACCTAACAGTGGTCTTCTCTGGGAGTACCGGGGAGATGGTGTGGACATACTGTATGTGGTCTATAGGCCTTCTGCAGTGAGAATATGCACAGGAGCAAAATTCACTCCACTACAATCCAGACTGGGGAAGCAGAACTTAGCTGACCATTTTACTGATGACGACAAGGTTTATTCTTCTGCTGCTATATCGGTTTGTAGTGTAAATAGTCATGGCAATGTGTTTATGTCTGCAAAGAACACGCCTGTGACTCAGCCACATACAGATCATATACAGAAGAAAAGGCAGTCATTTCCCAGGGTACAGCAATGCTTTTAAACTAACGAGAGGAAATGCCACCAGATAGATAACGTGACTCATTTTCTACTGATTTTCAGACAATTTTTCTGCTGTTGCTTTGGTGCGGTGCTTATCTAGAATAAATATTTTTGTAACACTCTGGAAAAATGATTTCTCCACGAATCTATAAAGACAGATTCAAACAGGAGGGATAAAAGATAATGATTCTTGGCTTTCTTTGGTACAACAGTCCACATTAGCCACTGCAAAGTGATCCACACAATCTCTGCAGCCTGACGCCATCCTCTGTAGCTGCCTGAGCAGGTGGCAGTATATTTATTGCCACAAAATCCTGCCATGGTGAGTGCTACCCCCTGAACAGACAGCAGCAGAAACATGTTAGCACAGTGCTTTGCTTGGTCTCATAAGTGCTGCATCTGCAGAAGTAATTAGCCTGCCTGCAGGGCTGTGCTAAGGTGTTTACCCTGCTCCCTGTTCAGGTTGTAGCAAGCATGGATGTTGTCCGGTGCTGCATGAATACCTTGGGGGAACAGCCTACTTTTCTCTGTCCTTTTGTGACTGACCTGCTCCATGTCTATGGCCCAGCAATTGGAATCATGGTTTGAAGGCAGGGGTGTCAAACTTACTTTGGTCCTGGAGTAGGATCTCAATTGCAGGGGCTCCTTGCAGGTCCAATTTCACCTGGGGCATGGGATAGTGGTGGTGGAGGTAGCTGCATGACTCAGCAGCTGCTTGCCATGGCAGGATATGCAAGAAGTGGCAGGCCAGGCAGCTGTAGGGCAACAAAGGACTGTGTTGCACAGCCTTCACTTGTCCCCTGCTACAGAGGCCCATGCCCACCAGGACCCTGCCCCCAAACCCCTAGGCCCACCAGTAGGCCCGATGGAGCAGCACTGTGACCAGATTTGATTTGTGGGCTGTATGTTTGACATCCCTATTCTAGGTGCTCAGAGACAAAATGGCTTAGCACAAGTCCCCTTATCTCTTGCAGTGGGATTTGTGCTGCGCCATTCACGAAGAAGCTGCCATAGGCAAAGGAACAGCAGGCTGTTACCATGCATCAGCTGCTTCAAAGTAAATGCCTCTCTGAAGCCACTGGATGAAGAACACATCAATTCTGGCAGCAATGTCCTCCTTGGCTTGGGGGGGAGGGGGCAGGGACATGTAGTGCAGCAACAGGTAACTCTCCAGGTGGT